GGTGTAGTTTTTATATGTTGTATATTCTTGTTTTTACGTAGATCATTGTCGGTTGCAATTAGACATGGAATACCATATAGAGTAATCCATTTTTCTAATCTATTTATTAAATTCTTGTTATATCTTTAATTCTATCGATCTCGATCCATTTTGAGTACGCATAAATTCCTACCAGCCAATAAAATCCGTTCAGTGGTCCTGCAAAATCGAAATGTGCCTTTTCCCAGGGTTGAGATGGCGGGTTCCAAGGGTATACACCAACACCTGGTATATCTCTGCGTTTTGACACCCTATACAGCTGTTAACTAGTTTTTCAACATCTTTATCTAATTATTCCCACCATATATAATGTCTCATAATGAATTTCATTGATGTAATACCCGGATGTCCAGTATGCAATATATGTAAAACTCTCTTTTGTGAGTACGGAATGATAATCTGCCATTCTAAAACAAACTAAGGTCGTCATTTTCTATTTCATCTATTCTTGTTCTAAAAGCTTGTAATTCTGGTGCTTGGTTTTGTATATATTTGTACCATTTATTAATATTTTTACTCTTAAGATTGGATCTTTTGCGGTTTCTTCTCTAAGCTCTTTTCTAGATAGAGTTAATGTATCATAACTAAGATTTCTTATATAAATTAATGTTTTATTTTTCGCTTGTTATTCTAGCATCATTTTTCTCTATTAAATTTCGCGATAAAGCATCTGTAATTATATTATTAGCGCCTCTCTTGTACATAATATCGTAATCATATGCGGATAATTTATAGGCCCATCGTAATAATCTTTGATTTGTTAATAAATTTAAATCTCTTTTATTGTCATATATATTTATTAAAGGTTTATGATCCGTTCGTGTTATAAACTCACATTCATACAAATAGTTATGAAATTTTTCTACACCCTTTATCTTGCTTTAGCTTTTTTGTCTACTGTAGAATAATTCTTTTCAACATCTTGTAAAGTTATTGAGGTGTACGCTATTGGAAATTTGTCTCGTTAATATAATTTTGCAGGAGTATAGCTCCAAATCCTTGGTTAGATGCACCTGTTTCTAATATTAACTCGAGATCCTGTTTATAAATCTGTATGGTATTTTGTTCTGTTACTATTCCTTTTGCTCTTTCAAATAATCTATCATCTTTTTAGGTCCAATTCCATTTAACAGTTTTACTACTTTTATTATGTAATTCGGCGATAATGCCACGTAAATTTGATATGAACCGTATATGATAGTTTAATATATCTAAAAATGATTTTATGCCCTGTCTATCTTTTAGAGTTGGATATTTTTGTATTGCTATTATTTTCTTTTTATCTGGGTGTATTCCATTTTATTCTATTATGTATCCTAAATATGATTGACTTTTAATCGCATTTTGTAATTTTTTGGGGACTTGTTTTATATTCTCTACATGTTCTGTATCATTTTTTCCTGTGATTATAACATCGTCTAAATAAACTGCTGTATCTTTACAGTCAGCCAGTAAATCGTCCATATATCGTTGAAATATTATTGATATTGTAGCTATACCAAAAGGTAATCATAAATAGTGGTAGTATCCACTTGGTGTTACCATAGTTAATAATGCTTGCGATTCTTCGTCAATGCTCATTTGTAGATATGCGTCAGATATAATGTTCTATACTTATTTCCATTAGGGATCTTTGCGATTATTACTTCAAACGTTGGTACTATGTGCTTTTAGTAAAAATTTATTCAATGTTACTTTGAAATCACCACATAATCGTAGTTCACTTGAAGTTTTACGTACCACTACCATTGGAGTACTCCAGATTACTCTTGTTGTTGATGGATTTATTTTCTTTATTATGTTATTTTCTTCCAAACGTTTCAGTTCATTTTCAATTTTTACTTTTTAAAGCAACGGTACTCTTCTTACTAGTAGAGCTATTGGTTTTATATTTTCTTCTAATTGTTGTTTTACTGGTTCTACATTTTTTATTAATCCTAATTTATTATCAATTACATTAGCAATTTCTTTATATAATTTTTCAAAATTCACGTTTCCATTACCATTATTGTTATATTTATTGCTGATTATATTGACTTTTACCTTTGTTGGTTAATATAGATCAACATCTATAGTCCATGGAAATTCAAATCCCTGCATCATTTGTTTTTGTAACTAATAACGAAAGCCATTTTATTTTATTATCTGATTGAATTTTTACATAAGCTTCTCCCATAATTTTTATTTTATTGTTTCCATATGTAGTTGGACCGCTAACCAATTTAAGTTTTGGCCTCCTAATTTTATTCCATATTGCTTTGATGGTTACTGCTGAACCTGTATCATATTCCATTTTAATTTCGTGGTTGTTTATTAATATCATAATTGTTAGGTGCTCTCCTTATTTGTAGACTTATTTTATTGAGAAATCTGAATCTTCGTCGTTACTATTGTAATTTGTTTTCTCCATTTTTACAACAGACGGCTAAGTGGTTTAATCTCTTATATCTGCACGTTTTTTCCGTATGCTGGAAAATTCCGAATAGCATGAACAAAAATAGTACGGTTTTCTTGTATTATTTGTGGTAGTTATTATAACCTTGAATTGGTTTTCTTTTTACGTATGTTTTATTATCATTTTGATACTGCCGATTATCATTATACTGCCGATTATTATTATCATTTTGATTTAATCCTTTATTATTATCATTATGTTTAGTGATTTTATAAACCATTTTAGTATTATTTATTTCTAAGCTAAAGCCATTTCTATAACCTTGTTTAAGCTTAACGGTTGCTCTTCGTCTCTAGTATCTGGGTATCTTAACGGTAGTTCTTTATCTCTTTACGACATCTTTAATCCAGCGATTAATTGATCACGAATTCTTAATTCTATATTATCTACAAATTCACATCTACGGACTAGTTCCTTTATCTTTTAAATAACTCATTACTAATTCTGTTGGTCCGCAACTTAATCTAATAAAATCAATTCTTGATGCCAAGACAGTTCTTTCCTCTTTAAAAAGATATTTGCGATTTTATATAAATCTGCCCATACCACATCAATTTTCCTTATAAATAGTAATTTTTTTATATCTGTTATTAATATTCCTCCATATGATATAAATAATTTTTTCATCTGTTTGACGAATATTCTTTACATTTACATTCAAAATATATTTAATATAATCCAAATAATCTTACGAAATTCGTTTAATGTAATTTTTGAATAATCATCCATAGTTTCTAAAAATATATTATTTAAATAAAAAATATATATACAATTCTATTTAATATTGAAGTCCACTTCTTTTTTCTTTTTTTTATCTCGTCGTCAATTTTATGAAAAAAACTCATAATATATGGTCACTGGTAACATTTTATTCTCAATTCTTGTATATATATATATACTATTCTGTAATTATTCAATTTAACTTCTATAATCATTCAATTTAACTGATCTTTTATATAATATTAAATATAAATACGCTACATTATTGTATGACAAATATATTATTCAGATAACATTGAATATTATAACCTTTAAAAAAAATATAACAGTAGAATTCGGAGGTAGTAAAAACTCTGGTCGAGAAACTGAGGTGTTCCAAAAAATGGTATAATAATAATAAAGAGCGATATAAGGAGGCGAAGGACATGTAGTTCGCGGAAGAAAGGGTACATATGGTTATGGCGGAAATGCATGTGGGATCACAAACTGCGAGACGTATGGATGATTCAAGTAGTGAACTTCGAAGTGAAGGTAGTACTTCACCAGGGATCCTTGTTGAGTCCATTATTATTAGTTTTGTAATAGATGTGGTGGCTAGAGAGATGTGTGAAGGACTTTCATGGGAGCTATTATATGCGGATGATTTTGTATTGATGGCAAACAGCAAGGAAGAATTGAAGGATAAAATTATTGGATGGATGATAGCTATTCAAGCAAAGGGTCTAAAATGAATGCAGGGTGATGATTGGTGGGGACAATCTGCAGGTGGAAGAAATTAGCAATTGGCCTTGTAGTGTATGTGGAAAAGGAGTTGCTATAAATTTAATCCAAAGAACCAGATGCCAGTAATGGGTGCATAAAAGATATAGTGGGGAAAAGGGAGCCTGATGATAGGAAGCGATTTATTTGTGTAACATGCATCAAAGGGGTTCATAATAATGATAACCTAGTAAATGGTGCCATGAGAAAAGTGGAAGTTTTGTTATTTGGATGACATGCTAAACGCAGATGTAGGTGTATATTTTGCTATTGTTGCAAGAGTCAGACATATAAGAAGTTGAGAAAGATGTAACTATTCTTACAAATAAAACATCTCCCTGAAGTTATAATGAAAGTTTATGCAAGTTGTGTGAATAGTTGTATAGTGTATGGCGGTGAAACATGGTCAATAAAGTGACTCACGAAGCTTAATTGGAAAGAATAGAGATGGTATCTATGAGAGTGAGAACTAGCAAGGATGAAAATAGAAGTAATTGGAAGTGGCAAAGTGAAGAAATAGACCGAGATGGTTTGGGCGTGTGGAACGAAAGATAACTGGATGAAGTGTTGCACCACGATGGAAGTAGGAGGACCAAGACCTTGAGAAAGGTCTAAAATGACGTGGATAAAGGGGATAGCGGCGGATATGAGAAAAATAAATTTTACAAATAATGATGCTCAGAACCGTTAAAATGGAAAAGGATAATCAGAGGATACTGGCTTTTCTGGAATTTTTTTAAATTTACCTCTATATAACTACATATGGTGTAAGACCTGAATGCAATCAAGAGTTAAAATATATTTGATATCAGTATTTATGGTCATAGTGCAAATGTAAACTAGTCAATAGTTGTTATAATATTAGATATATATATTTATGATTAAAATAAAATATGAACTAGCGGGCCCTAACCATTTCGAATATAGTTATAATGAGATCACAGTAATTATATCTAAAGGATATTAATTATTTTATGAACCTTTTACAATTATCTTTTTACAATCTCATTTATTTTCGGTGAAATAGGAATGCCATTGGCGATTCTTCTGCTGCCGATGTGACTGTTCCTTTGCAATGCTTGGTTCAAGATTCCCGTTTAAATATTCCTAAGGGGTCAAAGGTTAACCCCTATTTATTTTTGTTAAAATATGTTATTTGCTTGCAAAAGCAAACGCTAATATTTAAGCATTAATCAATCAAAATTACTGTATACCAGGATTGAACATATACATTTTAGAAATGTTTAAAATTATAGTTATACTTATAGCCAATTACATACTAGTAATCCCACTTTTTATTTAATTACAATTACTAAAATCCTTAATTTTAAGTTGAAATATTTTAAAACGAGTGTTATATATATATCAGGGACTAAAACGGAACTTGTGGAAAACTAGGGAACGCGAAATGAACGATTATAAATTTAATAAATAATGGCTCATTCACATATATTCGTTTTCTTTCATTAATTCCATTTTGTTTCACTTAACATAACCATATTATTCTTATTACCCTTTATTATTTAGAATTATGTAATTTTAAGCCTATTTTTAAAATCATATTTAATTATTTATCTATATTATTATAAAATTAATATTATATAATATAGGTGTTTTAAATTTTAATGATGATTTTATTGCCAATATCAAATGAATGAGAAAGAACCGCACAAATATAGAATAATATTTTAGGGAATGTCTTAGTTAATACTTTAGATATGATAGTTGATCTGTATGAATAAATGGTGTATATTTATAGAACTATTGGGAAAGGATCGAAATCTGGAATAGAACGGTTATGGAACATATTTATCTGAAAAGAAGAGAATAGAACACAAAAATCACGTTGTTTTGGGTCCCTGGCATATATTAATTTTCCTTTTTTTTTACAAATATATTCGTGTTCTTCTTTGTAATGTAAAATGCATTCTATACAAAAGAAAAACATTTAATTCTCCTGTTACATACTTATTGTTATGAACTATAATACATTTTATACAGCAAAGCCACTACTCACTACCTAATCTAATTCTTGTTCCAACAAGTAGGTTACTGATATAAAGTAGAAACATTGATAGCGGAGAGAGTTGCTTTCAAATGTTTTTAAAATATTGAATGCCGATTAATTTAGACCTTATATAAAAGAGTTTTAAAACTAATGGACATGGGCCTATCTCAAGGATAAAACACGAATCATTCATTTTTTCCCCCGCTTCCGTCAAACAAAGAGTTCTTGTCTCAGACTTTAGAAAAAGATTGAATATTTTAAATATAACATCGTCATCAAGGCTAGATTGAATGAGAATCCCAATCAACTTTCCTATTTGACTTTTGAAATAATAATTATTATATTGCCTCAATATTATTCCAGACCACCCTTACATTAGTAAAAGTGTTAGACACTAAAGCAACTGAATGCTTAATTCAGAACGCCCCTTGATTTTGTATTGAATTTGCTGTATAGATTATAAATACTCCCAAGGCCTTATAAGTGTTTGAACTTTATTTTTAAACAGTTGCCAATTTTTGCAAAAAATAAATTTTTTTTATAAATAAAAAATGATTACCCCAAAATCAAGAGGCTTTGGATTAGGGCTCTGCAAATTCCATTTTTATTAATTTTTAGACCCGGTAGGAAGTTTTATCTTGATTTTAGGCCCGAACCTATCCTATTTTTTTTTTTAGAAAAATATAAATAAAACGCATTTTTATGAACCTAAATGCAATCAAAATCATAAGAAAACATTTATTTATGTTTAATTGTTTCAAACCCAACCTTTTTGAAAAGAATCCTTAACCTGCCGAATTTTCTTTTGAGCCGGTATCGGGCCTACCTTGCAATGCTTTATTTTGGGATAAAATAGTCCTAAATAATTACTGCCATATTAACATTTCAAAAGTTTAACGGTATCTAAAGGTTTAAAATTTAACAGGCTGACCATTCGATTATAGGATTTCAGATACTTATCAGTTCTGTCTTAATATACAATGTTATGTGTGAAATATAAATTCTAAAGATTCAGACAAGAATGATTAGTTTGCCTGAAGTTGAAAACCAACGATTCGGGGTTACATTACAATATATGCCTGTTATAATTTTTAAATCTATTTTAATTTTCAAATTATAATTTGAAAGGAAAAACATGATATAAAAATTATACGCTATCGAAATATACAAATTTGGAATAGTGACACGATACTGAAGGAAAATACAAAACATATTGACATTAATCAATGGAAATCATTTCATTATTTGTTCCAAATTGATTTTTTTAAATATAAAGCTACTTTTTAGTTAAATAACAACTCATAAGAAAAAAGTAGTTAATTTTATGATCATTTCATATTACATCTCGCATTCCTCCTGTTCTAAATTTTCATACTACAGATACTTTTTCGCAATAGGAAAAACACTTTGTTTATTTTATACATGTTTTTATTATTGCTAGGCTGACCTCCCCGGATTTTACGATGTTTGCTATGGCGAACCTAAAACTTTATATATCAATTACGAATATCGAACTATTTTGCATGAAGTTATATTCTGTGATGAAGATTGCATTAAACTTCCCTCAACAGGTATATAAATTTACATAATCAAAAGGGGGTTTTAAAAAAATTCAGCATTGAAATATGGGTTATTATGATATTAGAATGTGATTTGATATTTCTGCTTAATTTGAGCGATCAAAAATATGCTTTTATAAAGTAGTTTTTCAACCCACTTTAATTGTGAATATTATATATCAAGATGTGAATATAAAAATCAATTAATTTGATTTATCGACTAACCTTTATGGGGTTGAATAATTTAGTATTTGCAAAAATATAAATCGGTCAATACCAATATTAAGCATCAATAGATCTCTGATTATTAGGTTTTAAAGTGTCATCAATGATATTTGGAGTCATGGGCGTAGCCAGGAGGGGGAATTTCCCTCCTTTGGAAACTTGTTCTAGTAAATATCATTTTAAGCTAATAAAAATCCCCCTCATCCCCAACTTAACAAAAAATTATATATGCTACAATCAATGTCTTTTTTTTCAGACAATGTGTTATTTTTTCAAAATTTAAAAATCTGATTTTATCGGAAATGTATTCCATCATGTTTGAAATGCCTACCAGAGTTGTTAAACGCTACTTTTAAAAGTAGCGCGCTCCGCTATCGCTATTTGTCAAAAAAAGTAGCTCGCTATTAGCTACATTTTATAAAAAAAATTTACATACAAATTTTTTATTTTTTGCTTATAATGTTATTGTATAGTAAATTTATAAAAATCAACATTTATAAATATTAAAATATAGTTAGTTTGGATTATAAAAAAATTTATGTAATAAAAATAAATATTTTTGGTAATTTGTTGCATTTTAATAATAAAATTATTTCAATATTATCATCCCCAAGTCTAGAGCGACGATGAGAAAGTATAAGTTTTGCCTTACTAAATAATCTCTCGACACTAGCACTTGAGGGCAGTGTTGTTAATCGACTAAATTTAGTCGACCAACAGACGACTAACTAATAGTTTTAGTCGAAAAATTCGACTAAAAACTTTAGTAACTAAATTAGTCTATTAGTCGACTAAAACGACTAATTTAGTCGACTAAAACGACTAATATAGTCGACTAAAACGACTAATTTAGTCGACTAAAAGAACTAATTAAGTCGACTAAAAGAACTAATTAAGTCGACTAAATTAAGTCATAATCGTTATTTTTGAACTTTTTTTAAATTTTTTAGGTAAAAATATATGTTGTAAAGATGTAAAAATAAAATTTCAGTGAAGATGTACCATCATAGAAAAATATTATTATCAAAATCGTTATTTTTGAAAAGTAAATAGATAAAAATATATATATTGTTAATGTGTTAAAATAAAATTTCAGTGAAGATGTACCATAGAAGAGTGACAATTGTCATAATCGTTGTTTTTAAAATTTTTTTAAAGTAAATAGGTAAAAATATATATTGTAAAAAATAAAATTTCAGTGAAGATGTACCATATAAAAGTGACAATCGTCATTGTACCAGTCCTTAATATGGGATTGATATTTCTTTGCTGAGGCTATTGGGAGAGACTGAATACAATGAAGGAATCTATTGATAAATAAATTAATATATAAAATTTACTGAATTCGGTTAATAATCTTACGAATGTTACACTCAATTATAATCACTTGTCGGAGACCGTAACCAGTTTAATTCTAATTTCCTTTTTTTTTAACTTTAAGAATGATTTTCTTTATTTTAAAATCTTTTCATTTTTATTCATCTTTTTAATATTCCAAAATTATAAATATCATAAAAATTCATCAAAAAATAAGTAATTGAAAAATTACAAGTATCTTTTTCAACAATAATCAAAAATTATCAATATTCATAGACATCGTTTTCTTTTTTTACATATTCAAATTAATCATAGTTATATCTATATATTTGAATACAACAAAATTAATAATAGTTCATCTATATATATTTAAATACAACAAAATTAATAATAGCTCATATATATATTAGAATACAACACCTCCACCCTTTAAGATTAGCTTTCCAAGGCTTCCTTCGTTAGTCCCCCACCTTCTCGCACCTCCAACTCTGAACCGTTCATTGAGGACGCTGTTGTCGTCGAACAAAACCTTAATTTATGCATTCCTCCGCACGCCCAACATGCTAATCGATTCTTCCGAACCCAATATGGCTCCATTCGTCGTTCTATCTTTGTTTTCTGGGTATTTCCTGCAGTAACTCTCCGTATCTTTGTTGGGCTTCTGCCCTTGCCGCTTTGATCCATCTGTTTGATTCGGCCGATCCATCTGCTTCTCTGATTTCCATCTTGATAATCTTATTTCCTACTCTGACATATGATGCCATCTATAAAATTACTATAAAAATATATATCTTTCATAATCTTCTAATAATCTACTATTCACCTGATAATTTCTTCACCGTTTAAACCCTCATAATTAGGTCTATCATTAAATTTATTTCCTCGAGAATGATTATTCTCCTCATTGATCTCTTGAAATTATGATTCTCCTAATTATGTCTATCATCAATTTTCTTTCATCTAACAATATGAATCTCAAATTAGGTCTATCATCAATTTATCTTCTTTTAATTGTATCCCCTGATAAATTATGATTCTCATCATTATGTCTATCATCAATATGATTCTCATAATTATGTCTATCCTCAATTTATCTCTTTAACAATTGATTCTCATAATTAAGTATATCATCAATATGATTCTCATAATAATGTCTATCATCAATTTATTTCTTTTAATTGTATCCCCTGGTAAATTATGATTCTCATCATTTTGTCTATCATCAATATGATTCCCATAATAATGTCTATCATCAATTTATTTCTAATTGTCTCCCATATCTTTTACTTGCTAGTAAAAGTGCCTTCTTGCCCTTCAATCTCTACTTCTACTTTTTTTCCCCTATATTCTTACTTATTATACCCTTCCCCCATTTAACTGGACCCTCAAACAGTAGAATCCATACTAGACTTCCAACTTTAAATTTATCATCATATGTATCCTCCTTTTTCTTTATTCTTTCTTTCAAAAAATCTAATTCCGTTCTTGTTTTTCTACCTAAAAACATCTCTGATGGTGAATTTCCTTTGCTCGTTTTAGTATTGTTATATGCTAATAATAACAACCACCATTTTCCCTCTCCATATTTTTCTTTTTTTAGCCAGCTTTTAACAATAGTTACCATTTTCTCGGCTTGCCCATTACTTCTCGGGTAATGTGGTGGCGATACTAAATGTTTAATATTCCACCTATCACAAAATTGATTAAAAACTCTACCTATAAATGCTGGGCCTCCATCCGAAACTAAAGTTTCTAATAATCCATATTTACCTGCAAAATCTTTTATTTTAGTCAACGCTATCTTCGTCGTTAAACCTGAAACCTGTTGACAATCTATCCATTTCGAACCAGCATCTACCATAATAAAATATCTTCTTTTTTCATATTTTAAAAAATCTACATGTATTCTTTTACATGGAATGTCCGTTTCTGGCCATTTATCTGCTTTATTCTTTGGTGGTACATTAGCTCACATGTTACATGTCTCGCAGCTTCTAGCTAATTCTTCAATTTCACTATTCATCTTGGGCCACCAAATATATTCTTTTGCTTTATTCTTCATTCTTTCTATGCCTTGATGTCCTGAATGTAATACGGCTAATGTATCTTTTCTTAACTTAATCGGTATCACTAATCGATATCCTCTCAATAAACAATTGTCTTCTATATTTAATTCATTCCTTATATTTTTAAAAGCTTTGTCTTCACCTTTCCATTCTGCCTCTCCTTTTAAACAAGTTCTAATTCTTATTAATTCTTCATCTTTTTTGGATATCTCCTCTATTCTTTCAAACGTTATCGGTTCTTCTCTTGTATCTATCTTCAAAGCTCTTATAACTTTACTATTTAATTTTTACTCCTCTTCTATATATTCTAAACTATTGATTACTGTATCCTTGTTTGCACTGTCTTTTTTAAACAATCTCGATAATATATCTGGTAAACAATTTTGTTTACCTGCTCTGAATCTTATCTCAAAATCGAAATTACCAACTAAAATTAACCATCTCTATAGTCTTGGTGACATCATAAATTCTTTATTTTTTTCTTGAATAAATCTACCAACGGCTTATGATCCGTATATAAAATAAACCTTCTTCCAATCAGATATTCTTTGCACTTCTCTAGCCCGAATTTCACAGCCAGAGCCTCTCTCTCGATCGGGGAGTAATTTTTCTCAGTGCTACTAAACCGTCTTGATAAAAATAAAATCGGTTTCTCACCTTATCGGTCATCTGTAATAAAACTCCTCCTATACCTTCATTAGATGCATCAACCGCTAATATAATATCTAATTTCTCATTAAAACAATTTAAAATCGGTTTCTCTACCATCTTTATCTTCAATGTTTCAAAACCTTTCTCCTGTGTTTCTCCTCATTCAAACTTTTTATTTTTCTTTAATAAATCATACAACGGTGAGGCGATTTCTGCAAAATTTTGAACAAACCGATGATAATAATTCGTTGCTCCCAAAAACGCCTGTACTTCAGTTTTATTATTTGGGGCTTTCATATTCATTATCTTATCTATATTCTTTGCAATTGGAGTAATTTCATCTCCCTTTATAATATGTCCTAAATACTTTATTTTTCTTGCTCCCAAAACACTTTTATTAATATTAGTTTTTAAAGCATTTTCTAATGTAATATCTAACACTTTAACTAACCTATCATTGTGTTCTTCTTCTGTTCTACCAGATATCAAAACATCGTCTAAATAATACATTATTCCCTTTATTCCTTGAAATAATGCCGCCATAGTTATTTGATATTGGAGCTGATACTTTCAAACCAAATGGTAAACGACAAAAAGCAAATAATCCTCTATGCGTTGTAATCGTTAATATCTTACTTGTTCTCTCACTTAACTTTATTTGCAAGTAAGCATTCGAAAAATCTATTTTTGAAAAAATTGTTGCTCCTCTTAAATTAGCCAGCAATTGTTCTATTCTAGGTAATGGATATCTTT